TGCCTCTCTCACATGTTCGAGAAAGATATCGCATGTAACTTTTTTATTCTCTATTTTATGCTTTTTTCTACAAATATACATTTCCATTCATCATATATGCCTCTTTAATGTGATTGGTCCGTTTAAGGTCGTTTGCTGATTGGTTGTTAGTGGTGTCGAAAGTTTAACTTTGCCGGAGTATGTTATAAACGCAATTCTAATTCATGCTTAGTTATCAACTCTTTTTGATAGAGTATATATACAAGCCTACACACACCACACCATATTCTTGAAGCATTTGAAATGAAGCCCCATGTGAGGTGGTTTTACAATGACTGACTGACTGACTGAAAGAATGAATGAATGATTGAATAGCCATTACTCATGGCCTTCTTCACACTAATACAATAAGTAAGGATCACTCCAAGTGCTGAATGATTCATCAACTCATCTCTTTTCTATTCTACAATATATATTATTACTATAATATTATGTGATCTCAGGTAAATGGTAAATATCTATTCACTACTACTGTTTTTTAACGTTTAAACTCTGTCACATTATTTGGCATATTCACTTCCAAAAACCATATGACTCATTTAGCTGGTTTGTGCTTTTTGCTTTGTTTTGCTATTGCACGTATGTGTGTATATTTTTTCAATGTGCATTTTTCAGCATGTTTTCTTTTTCATCTTCATATAAGTGAAAACCAAAAACATTATAAAAATTTAATATGGAATTAATTAGAACGACAAATCATTAAAATAAAAAGCAGCTATACGTCATTTTTTATTATTATGATTATTATTAATTCACACGAGTTAGTTTGTAGGGGGTTTCATTTATTTCAAGTTTTTGACCATGGATTGAAATATGTTAGGTAGACGTAGAACCTTTTGAATACTGAACAGGCGTTTTCTGTTCTATTCATTGGCAGTTCAAATTTCTTAGGGTTTTAAATGACGACATTCTGGTTATGAGGGGCAGGGCTGTAGATCATTCAGCCACTGATCATTATTATTATTTCCTTTAATTCCAAGCGGAACATAGGGCTTCAGTCGCGCGTCTCCATTGCGTTCGCTTCTCTGCTATAGTTTTCACCTGGCTCCAAGTCTGCTCATATGCTTTCATCTCCTCTTCACTTGACCTCCTCCTCAAAGTCACCCTTTCACTGACGACTGACTCGCCGCTTCCCTTTTGGGTTCCACTCGAGCTATGGCTTGTCTAGTGATGTCACTTGATGGTTTCTTCAACGTATGGCCTCTAGTCCACCTCCATTTCTTCCTGCTTATTTGTTTCACAATCGGTTCCTGCTACGTTGGTTCGCTCATTGCCAGAGATCCCTGTCGCTGATCTTTTCTGGCCAGCCATCTGATCTTGAGTAGTATTGAGCGCAGACAGCTGTTGATGAAGGTCTGTAGTCTGTTTGAAGTGCTCTTCATGACACGCTGGTCAAGTCTCTGATCCGTATAGTAGCACTGACTGACTTCACATTGGAGTTGAAAATCCGGATGTTATTTTTGATTCTGAGTGCTGTTGACCTCCACACGGATTTGAGAGTAATGAAGGCTTGCCTTGCTTTCGTGATCCTTGCTATGATATCTTCGTCAGTTCCGCCTGTAGTTGAAATGATACTTCCTTGGTAGATAGGTAGGTAGGTAGGTAAATGAGGTTGTTTCTTTCAGGTTCCTCCTATTTATACTGATTGTTGTCTGTTATTGTTGTTGATCAGGAATCTTCATCATCACCTCTGTTTTCTTCATGCTCACGAGAAGTCTTATCTTCTCTGAACGCTTCTTCTGCGACCTTGTTGCTTTTCACTTGCATATCTTCAAGTTTGTGGGAAATCAGACACATATATCATTGGCGAAGTATCAGATCTCTTTAAACCATTAGAATTTCGGTTACCTATTTTTGTGTGAACTTACCGGTAATACCTGGAATCAGATTCGCCTTATGCAGATAAATAACACCATTCGAGTTGAAATTTCACCATAGTTATTCAGACCACAATATGTTCGGTGGTGTGGACTGAATTCTATCAGTGAATTTTGTAATGTGACTATCATGCCATTAGGTGGCTTACCATCACAGTGCATTTTGAATTAATATTATTATTAGTAGTAGTGTAACAACAGAAGACAAGGGCCAGACAACAGATAGTTTATTTACGAAATCAACACTTATTTGTAGATTTTCATGTACATTATTACACATTATTGTTAGCGGGAAAACACAGTCTTCTGATTGGTTGTTTCTCAGTGAAAGTTAACCTTGTATCTTTTTGTGGCTGTTTCTTGAATGCCAGGTCACTTATATGCTAACTGTATCCGCCCACGCAAAGCCTTTGTTCTCATTTTTGTCACGACCAATATTGGGGACATAAACAATGACGTAAATTACTGTCCACCAATTTTGGCTAACAGGTAGCTCTCCCCACAGTAGTACTACTACATTAGTGATAACGTCTCTCTGACTGAAGCATAGCGCGACACCGGTTCGAATCTTAGAAGGGACATGCCTTCTTTAGTGACTGATCGTATGCTATTATTGACTGGTGAATGCCAATAAACAAGAAACCTAGGCTAAAGGCTTCCTTTTGATTACCTCCAAGCATCTAGGTAATAACAACAGCTCAAAGTGTATCATGATGGTGAGCTAAATAGAATGGTGGACTACACTGCAAACTTCACCGATAAACTTCAGTGAGCACTAATCAAAGTATCTAATGCAATTTTAACAGGAGGTCAATCGCTAGTACGAATAGCTCAGTGGTAATGTCTCTGACTGAAGCACCAGATGTGATAGGGTTTCGAATCTCAAAGGGCATATCAGATATCCCCTGGTTACTTACTGGTTAGTGTCAACAAGCACAAAACCTAGGTGGAAGGCTTCCCCCAGTTTGACTCTCTCCAGTCATTTAATAACAACAAAGTAAGCATAAGTAAATAGCATCATCGTATAGGGTTTCAATCATTGATTTTAGAGGAGAGGTGGACTTCAGCCTGAGTTTAAAATCAATTATGTTGAGATCCTTTCAAGTGTGTGTTTAGTTGTAGTTTGAACTTAACTTTCATTGACGGAGAGACACCCCCTGGCGCTGTATGATTTTCTTACACGCACACACACACATACACACACACGCACACTCTCACTCTCTCACATTATGACTATTATCGTCTTTTAGTATAAACAACAGTGTTAGTGAAAGGTATTCACTCATGTGTATATTTGTGTTGTGTGTTCGAGAAATGTGCTTCACTTAGGCTCCTGTGTTAGTTACACTTCTGTTTTCTTGTTATTTAGTTATTTACTTTGCCTTTTCTTTACTGTAATAGCAGTAATAATAATAATAATAATAATAATCATAGGTGCCATCGTTGTTTTCTCACTACAGTCAACAACTATCTCTTTTTCATGGAATTCGCTACCTTTAAAGTTCTCTTATTATTGTTGTTTTATTTTTTTCTGTGTTTTAATAGTTTGGTATTTATTACTTACCTTGCTAAATATTCCTTCTAAATTCTTTGTGTTTTACTGTATGTATATGCTTTCTTTTGTATATACATAAATATATCCGTGAAACAGTAATCATATGAGATAATATCAGTAGTAAGAAGTATTGGTTTTGTATATAAGTAGTATATAGAGATGTGTGCATTTCCATTCATATTGGCTTAACTATGTTAGTTGACATAGGGTCAGGCTGGAAAAGAGCTAGTACGTGGTGGGCAAACCAAAACATGGCTTCATCAGTGAATGAAATTCACAACAGTTCGTTTAAGCCAGCCAGCCAGCCACGTAGAACAGTGTAAACTTCCTGACTGACTCGTTGGGGTCCTCGGGACGGTAAAAACCAATGAAGGCTGAAAAAAAATTGGTGATATGGCTCAAAGTGATCGTTCTCAATGGCTGGCTGGCTTAGCGCAGATGCATCCACTCCTTGTGACTTATGATTTCCAGTGAAACTAATTTTATTTTTAATTTAATTTAATTATAACAGCTTTATTTCAAACGGTATTTGTGGTAAAGGTATGGAATTTTCAGCGTGCATTACAGTATATTGCATCTAATTACCTCATAAATTTTATAAGATTTTTAAAATCAAAAGATACATAAATAAATAAAAATAGAATAAATAAATAATAAATTTTTTTTCTTTCCTTTAAATTCCCCAGTGGAACATAGGGCTTCAAGCTGGTGGCTTGAAGTTTCTGTAGCAGTGTTTATTCTACAGGATGGGGTTGCTAGCCTCATGCCCAACCTTTCCTCATCACCAGCATTATCTCTGGCTCAGCGAGGTAAAGGAGTGAGTCGGTGGCCGAGGATCGAACCCCGGACCATGTGCATGGTAGACTAGCGTGCTAACCGCTGTGCCACCGACGGACAAAGGTTTGGGAGTGCGTCGGCCGGGTATCGAGCCCCGGAACATGTGCATGGTTGGCGAGCATCCTAACCACTACGCCACGACGCACAAAAAGGGGTTCGAACCCAGGACCTTCCGGTTACAAGGCAAGCTCGTATACCACTCAGCCAATAAATAAAATAAATAAATATTTATTTATAATAAATAAATAAATAAAAATAAAAAACAATGTAGAGTTTACATTTCAAACAATGCACCACAGGATATGAAATATAAAGTTGATGTGTGATAGAAGATGAGAACAACAGTGTAATAGTAACGAAGAAAGGAAAACAAAAACTAATGGGACTAACTATATTGCTCTTCGTTATTACTATTCCTTTGTCTCACACCTCTGTTTACTGTCTTTCTATTATGCATTCCTTGTACTTTCTTCTGTTGCTTTGTGTGATACAAGGAGGGAGTGTGGCGACTTGAACTGGTGTACATCGGTGCAAAGTTCTATGTCGAAAACAGACAGACAGATAGACAGACAGATCTGTATTCATTTATCACTTTTTTTTATTGTGTCATGTGTTTTGTTCAAGTTTAACTCTCATTATTTAGTGTCTTCTTAGTCTGTTTTCTTTTTTTTTATTTGAATAATTCTATCTAGATGGTCAAGCGCCTACATTCGATGAAACAGAAGGCCAAGCTGGTTGGATAGAAGGTCTGGCTATATTGATTGCAGTATTTGTTGTTGTCTTTGTCGTCGCTTTGAATGATTGGCAAAAAGAAAGACAATTTCGTGGGCTACAGAATAAAATTGAATCAGAGCATACCTTTTTTGTAATACGCAAAGGGGAGACAAGACAGATTGCTGTTAAGGAGATTGTTGTCGGTGATATATGCCAAGTAAAATATGGTAAGTGTGTGTGTGTAAGTGGTTTTGGTTTTAATTGATTTCGAGTGTGTGTGTGTGTGTGTGTGTGTGTGTGTGCGTGTATGTAGTATGATGAAGTATTTTTGCTGACTCGTTGAATCATTTAATTGCGATGATGATATGAGTTCTTTTCTGAATTCTTTTCCACCTCAAGTGAAACCCAGTGCTTTAGGCTTGAGCTTTGGAATTTCAGAGGTGGTGATGTTTTTTTTTTCGCCGAATCGGGGGCTGCTAGTCTCTGAGCCTAGCCTTTTTCTTTATCTCGTCTACTAGTGGTCGATCAAGTTTAAAGAGTGCGTCGGCTGGCAGTCGAAAGTGGAACTTGTGTGCGTAGTTCATGAACACTCTAAAAGTGACCCGCAAGATGCACGCATTTATGAGCAGTATAGATTCTTTAAAGAAATAAGATGGAAACTAATACTGTTTAACATATGATTGAGGTAGGGATAACTTCAAATTACAAATACCAACTGACCTATTCATTTTCTTTTCTTAAACAGAATACCAGCGAAAATGTGAAGCAATCACGTCTATAGGGCTGAATACAAAAGTTTAGAAAATAATCAGCGGGATGTTGGTGAGAAATGGTAGAAACTTCAGCAAAGACACATTTTCGTTTATTTCACCCTCAATAACTATGCAAACACGATTTATATACATACGTTCTCATCGTTACAGTCATTATTCTATCCAATAATGTAACCAAAGAATTTGAGAGGTCATTTGTCAACGGTAGTGAACATTGAATAGTTTCTTTATTCAAACTCGTGTCCATTGGCGGGTGACAATAATAATAATATAAATAATAATAATAACAGTTTTTGCCTTATTCCAAAAACAGTACTAATGATACAGCAAGGAATTTCCAGCAATCAGTACAATATAGCATCTTTTTTTCCTTCCCGTTCTTCAGTCGAACATAGGGCTTCACGCTAGTTTCTTGAAGCTTCTGTGGCAGTTTTTATTTGACAGGATGGGGTTGCTAGCCTCATGCCCAAACTTTCCTCTTTACCAGCATTATTTCTGGCTCAGCGAGGTAAAGGAGGAGTGAGTCGGTGGGCGGGAATCGAATCCCGGACCATGTGCATGGTCAGCGAGCGTCCTAACCGCTATACCACCGACGCACAATATTGCATCTGATTTACTCAAAACCGACAAAAAAAATAAAAACATTACATAATAATAATAAAAAACGTTGTTATAGCAGCTATGTAGCAAATTACAGTATACGATAAGGAGAAAAATGTGCATAAAGTATAAAATTGTAGTAATAATAGTAACAACAACTAAAATAAAATAGCAAAGTTATAATTAAACGATAGAAGGCGTGACACCATAAAATTACAGAAAGATGAACGAACGATGAAAGGGTTGACTCACTTTGCTAATTACATTTGCTAACTTGTATGTTTCACGTCTAACAGTGTCTTCATCACATAAAATACGGGCTAAATACGGTATTGTAGAATTTTTGTACTTGGTGGTTCGAGCACATAACTTTTTATATTGACTTCTCGTTCTACCCGATGAGATTCGAGGGGATAGTTGTGAATAAAGGCGGTGCAGGGGGTCTGACAGTAGGGCCTTTGTCCATTTTGTACAGGAATTTATGTGTCTCTCGACTATGATATTAGCGAGCTCACGCAGTGGCATACCACAAGCCCTACTCACAGCATTTAATACTCTTCGTAATATGCTATAATCTTTTTTGAGAAGCCCAGGAAAGAATAATGGAGAGCAATAGAATACAATGGGTAAGATACAGTAGTTTACAAACTGCAGTTTTAAAGGTTGATTGATAACTGGTTGTCTTAACTTTTTAATGTAGAAGGTAAGACGAAACACTTTCTTCGAGATTGATAAGATGTGTGATGACCATGAAAGGTCAAAGAAAAGAATTAATCTAAGGTATTCAATGCTTGACTTGGTTTCAATTTCAGTGCTATCTTTGCTACAGATCATGTATGTCACATTGATGCTTGAAAGTAAAGTCAGCTGCCTGACGTTTGGAAGGATTTAATATAAAACCATTTGACTTAGACCACTTGCTGATGACCAACAGAAAGCTATTAAGTTTGGAGCAGTCGGACTCGGAAGTGATAGACAGTGAGTGATACAATCAGATCATCTGCATATTTCGTTAAATGAGGCAGGTCGTGTAGGAAGAAAGAAAAACGAAAAGGAGAGAGGATGGCACCTTGAGGAACACGAGTGTGTATCTATGTGTGTGCAAGTGTTTGTGTTGTGTGTGTATGCAGCGTGATAAATTGTTTTTGCTGAGTTGTTGAATCACTTAATCGCAAAGCAACTATTCAGGAAACTATCAGCCTCAATCGACAACTAACTATATGACAATGCTACATGTCAAGTGATCCACAGAGCGAAGCTCAGTGAAGCCTTGAAAGTGAAGACAGGAATAAGATAAGACTGCCATTTTATCGCCGATGATGTTCCCAATGCACGAGACTGTGGAGGGGGGGGAGGGACGAGAAAACAGGCATACTTTGGACTGATAAGAAGACTCTACATGTATGTTTAACTTCACACCAACTCGAAGACCTAGAGATGAAAACCAATAAGTTGTCATGCCAGAAGAGGTAGGTATCAAAGATGGGATTCCAGGTGAACATAAAGAAGACGGAGGTGATGAAGGTAAACAACCAGCAATAACCAGTACCAATCACTGTTGACAGCAGTTATTTGAAAGCGTTCACTTTCTTCTAGTTACTCAGCATTGTTTCAACTACCAGGCGTCTCTACGAATGAAGATTTCAAAACCAACCAGAATAGGAAACAGTAGACAGACGTTTAGGCGATCTTCTGCACTCCACAGCACACAGAATAAGTAACTTGACACACGCATCACTAAAAGTATTTCTAAATATCAGTAGCAGACTTTTATTAACTACTGCCGTCTTCTCTGGCTGCATACTAAAGACCGCATGGCCAGAATGGATTCCTGAAGAGGAACTTTAACAGCGAAGTAATAAAGAACCTAATGCTCAATAAATATTCAGTAGAAAATGAAGATGAATAGATAGGACAGATGTTGAGGAGACCATTGGATGACATCGCTTGCCAGACCTTCGATTGAGTGGGACCCGATTTGTAAACGGTAAGTTTGGCGGTATGGGTGAGGGTGACATGGAAGAGGTCGTGTGAGGAGTATATATATATATATATATATATATATATATATAAAATAATAATTTTTCCTTCACGTTCCCAGTGGAACATAGGGCTTTTTTCTGTAGCAGTGTTTAATTTTTACAGGATGGGGTTGCTAGCCTCATGCCCAACCGTTCCTCTTTACCAGAATTATTTCTGGCTCAGTGAGGTAAAGGAGTGCGTCGGTGGCCGGGTATCGAACCCCGGACCATGTGCATGGTCGGCGAGCGTCCTAACCGCTATACCACCGACGCACATATATATATATATATATATATATATATATATATATATATATATATATATATATATATATAGGCTTATAGGCGATTGTGGGCCAAGAAAGTACATAGCACTAATCAAGACACTCTATTCCAACTCACATAGTCGTGTAAGGGCTTTTGGGGAATTGTCATCTGAATTGATAACGACCAGTAGTGTCCGACAGGGATATCCACTTTCCCCATTCCTGTTTAACTTCATCGTAGATATGCTAATGGAAGTATCCTTAACTGAACGTAACGACTTAGGAATCGACTTATTACCGGGGAATAGTCTTATTGACTAAGAATATGTAGATGACATAGTCCTGTTAGGGGAGGATGCTAACAAAAATCCAGCAGAGTCTTCTGAACACCTTAAGCTGAGCAGCAATCTTCGTATGTTTGACATGTGATTCGCCCCTGCGAAATGTAAGATGCTGCTACAGGACTGGACCACGTCAACTCCTAGCTTAGTGATAGGGAGTGAAGTGATAGAACATGTTGACCACTTCACCTATTTGGGAAGTTGTATCAGCCAGCACCAACTGACTGATTGGCGATGAAATCTTAGCACGGATCCAAAAAGCTAGAGCTGCTTTCGCTGACTTACACACCACCTCTGGCGGAGGCGTGACATCCGGCTATCAACCAAGCAAAGGACGTGTGTACTGCTCAACAGTTCGCTCCGTCCTTCTCTATGGCTCTGAAACATGGCCAATACGAGTTGAAGACATGAAAAGGTTGACTGCTTTCGATCATAGATGTCTGGGATCTCTTTCTCACGTTAGGTGGTATAATAAGGTAAATAATGTTGACGTTCGGCGTAGGGTGTTGGGCAAAGAGGGAGAATCAATCGACTAGGCTATAAAGTTACATATATTGAGATGGCTAGGTCAGGTGGTGCGCATGCCTAACCATCGCCTCCCCCGACGACGGGCATTACTAGCTAGCTGATATAGGTGGAGGTTGGAAAAGAGTAAGTGGTGGTCAAACAAAAACATGGCCTCATCAATCCATGAAATCCTTGACAGTTAAACTGAGTCAGGTAGGGTAGGAGGTGCAGACTTCTGGATTGGGGCCCTCGGGACTCTAGGAATCAATGGCTGGGGACAATAGGTGATATGGCTCAAAATCGTTGTCAATGGTGCAGATGTATTCAGTCTCTGTAATCTTTCATATTCCTTTCTACCATTACCCATTCTGTTTCTCTCTTATACCTGTCAAACTCTATTGATTCTCTTCACTCATCTTCTTGTCTACCTTTGTGTGGTATTTGGAACGTGGCAACTCGAACTGGTGCACTTCGGTGGCAAGTTCTATTTTGAATCCAGGCAGACAGACAGTGGGTCTAACAAAGGAGGACTGTTGTAGAGAACAGAGTGGAATGGATATGTGTTGTTGAAGCCTGATGTTTCACTCGGAACCTAAGGGAACAATATTAATAGTACTTTTCAGTACCTGTATTGTGCCAACTTTAACATATATATATGGGTTATATACTTGTTTATTTAAGAATATGGTTGAAACTACTGTTTACCTAATCATAGTGTA